CTGGCAAAAAGGTGATGCAGTTTGTATGGTGGGATTGGAAGGGTATTATTCAATATGAGCTGTTACCGTCAAGCAGCATCATCGATTCTGAACTCTACTGCGAACAACTGATGAGATTAAATCAAGAAGTCAAGAGAAAGCGGCCAGAATTAATCAATAGAAAGGGGGTGGTTTTTTTTTTTATGGGATAGGGGGCAGACGAGCAGACGGATCACCTGATGGTAAGTGATTACCGTCGCCCATGGACACCTGCAACACCGGAGGGGCTACAAGCGCGCTGCCGGCCTTAGAGGGAAGGGTTGAGGGGTAGAGGGAAGGGAATAGGGAGGGGTTGGGCCTCCGGTACCCTCACTCACACGACGAAACACAACGCAAGCGTTGCTTCACGTCGGTTTTCTGTGAGGCCGTGGTATCACTCCAGTCGAGCCGGCCCATTCATGCCGAAGCGTGGCTCTCCCACGGTTTTTCATTAAATTAAGAGTTTGGCTTGCCGTGTACCTTGCCTGGCTTGCACCTTCAGATTTCCACCTGTTTAGGTCTCTTCAGAATTTTTGATCATTTTTATGATCATGTCCCTGCAAGACATGATCCCATTGCTATAGAAATTTTAGGGTTTCTAATTAAGATGCCATGTACCTACAAGATGGCAAAAAGTTATCGAACAAAATAGTAGCTAAATATTGTTGTTTAATATTATTATTATGACAACATTACATAATTTAGAAGAGTATAGTTGTGCCATATTTGATTGTTACTTAAAAAGTGTTATTCGTTTGAGTAGCTATTATATTTTTTATGTCAAAAAAGGCATTCTGAATAGCTCAACTTTTAATTTTCCATCATTTGACATAACGACGCCGTTTACGCCGCCATTTACGCCGCCGCCACTGAATTTTTAGCTCCACGCCGCCGCTGAAGATTTCAGCATCGGCGCACATGCCTAGTACTTACACTGATTTCATACAGCGAAAGAATAAAGTGGATATGCCTCAAATCCCGAGATTAATTTTAAAGAGCAGAAAATTCCCGTGATTTTTTTAAATAAAAAGTTATTTACTTTTACACAATTTAAACTTCTGCACGCGTCGTGCGTGCCAAACTTACATCAATGAAAGAAAGAAATAAAGAAATCCCGGGAAGGTCCACATTAATATCAACATTTCGATGCAAGTATCGGGTTGGCACAAAAGTAATGAGACACTTGGTTTAAGTTTTTACTTTTTTATTATTATTACAATAAAAAAAGTTTAGTCAATGATGTAATTACCATTAGTATCTAAGACTTCTTGCCAACGATCCGGCAAAGTTTGGATGCCTTTTGCCCAGAGCTCTGATGGCTGTGCCTCAAAAAAGTTGTTCAACTCCGCCTCTACGTCAGAGAAATCATTAAATTGTTTACCCCGCAAATGCTGTTTCAGGGCTCTAAACAAATGATAGTCTGATGGGGCGAGGTCTGGGGAATAAGGTGGGTGGGGTATCGTCTCCCAGCCCAAGTTCTCCAACTGCCGGCGGACCACAGATGCGACGTGAGGTCGAGCGTTATCGTGCAGTAAAACTACATTGACTCGTCTTCGTCGTTTTTTCTTGATAGCGGCAGATAATTTGGTAAGCTGGGTTGAATATTTGTCAGCGTTTATAGTTTCATTGTGTAATAGCTCATAAAACAGTATGCCTTGCGCATCCCAGAAACAGCAAAGCAGAATTTTTCGGCGGTTCTTTTGACTCGGCTTCGGTTGAGTTGGTGGCGTTTCTTCTCGAGGCAGCCAAAAAGCACGACGTGTATCGTTCTCGTAATAAATCCATGATTCATCTCCAGTAACCAGATCTGACAAAAACTCTTTACGTCGGGGTCGCAGCAAAAGTGACTGACAGATAGCGACACGGACTGCACGACTGGCGTCTGTAAGGATGTGCGGTACCCACCGAGCCAAAACTTTTCGATAACCAAGCTCATGCAGATGGTGTTCCACGGCGTGGTGATTGCATTTAAGTGCTTCCACTAATTCACGAGTGGTAGCATCCGGATTCAACTGCAGTTCGCGGCGCAAATCGTCATCATTCACTGCGGGTGGTCGCCCTGAGCGTGGCTGACTTTCAAGGCTCCTGTCTCCTGATTTAAAACGGTCAAACCATCGGGACACCGTCGCATGACTTGTACTTCCAGCGCCTAATGCATTGTTGATACGAGGGTCAAACTGAAAGTTCTTAGAAAATCAAAAACTGATTACATTAGCCAGTTATTAGTTTTATTATATCTTTTCAAAATATTGTCCATTCACGTCAATACACCGCTGCATGCGATGGAACCACTGGGAAAAGCACTTTGCCCACTCGTCCTTAGGGGTCTCTTCAATGGCATCGCGATACGCAGCCACCGCTTCTTCAGCATTCATAAACCGCTTTCCTTTAAGTTTTTCTTTAATTTTTGGAAATAAATAAAAATCACAAGGCGCGAGGTCGGGGCTATACGGCGGGTGACCCAGTAATTCAACGTTTGATGTCGCCAAATAGTCGATCGTTCGCTTGGCGGTGTGCGACGAGGCGTTGTCGTGGTGAAGGAGGATCCTACTGCGAGGTCGTTTCTCTCGAACTTTTTCCAAGACAAGTGGCAAACAATTGGTAGTGTACCATTCTGCAGAAACTGTTTTTTGATCCTCTAACACAATTGTTGCAAAATGACCTATCCTTCCAAAGAACGAGGCCACCATTTTTCCCGCACTTCGATCTCTCTTCACTTTAGTTGGCAACTCCTCGAAAGGAAACACCCACTGAGCAGATTGTCTTTTGGTTTTAGGATCATAACAGTAAATCCAGCTTTCGTCACCTGTTAGTATGTCGAACACAGCATTTGAGTCACCTCCGTTAAATCTTTCAATCATTTTACGACACCAATCCACACGATGGAGTTTTTGAGCCTCAGTCAAATTATGAGGTATCCACCGGGCGCAAAGCTTCCTGACCGCTAAATGTTCGTGGAGGATTTTGTGCACTTGACTCATACCGATGCCTAAGCTTGTCCGAATCTGTTGATAGGTCACTCTTTTGTCAGTCTCTATCATACGCCGCACAACACAGATGTTATCTTCAGTCGTCGCCGTAGAAGGCCGTCCCTCACGTAAATCATCAGTGAGATTAGTGCGACCACGTTTAAACTCATTAAACCAGTTGTAAACAGTCGCACGAGATGGGGCTTCATCGTGAAAGGCCAATCGTAGTCTATCATAACTTTCTTGTTGACTTAAATGACATCGAAAGTCATAAAAAATCATTGCACGAAAATTTTCTCGTGTTAAATTCATGATGACGTGACACAGACAATTTTCAATTTGCCGCCAAATCGTAAAACAAATGACAAATGAATGAAATATATACTCAGTAATATTGGCAAAGAGTTATATTTTCAAATTTTAGAATTATTTTTTTATTATATTGTTTATAAGTGGCCAGTTCTAAGAACTTTCAGTTTGACCCTCGTATTGTCAGCCGCAGCCCGCGCACTGTGGCCTAACAAGTACTCGTATAAGTATTCGTATAGTGTTCGAACTTGTCGCTCGTCCATTTTTCTTCAAACTGACTAAACAAATCGCGAGCGCGGCTTTATATACCCTACACCAGAAGTACCTAGAATGTTCTACAACATTCTAGAATATTATCGAAAAAATTGATTTTAAAAAGGAAATGTTATAGATTTTTCTAGTGTGTCTCATTACTTTTGTGCCAACCCAATACATAAATAACTCTACCTAATTCCGACCTTTGGTAATTATAATTATAAGTAATTAAATGATAATTCTCATTATATTAAAATAAATATTTTATTATAATATACAAAAATTAATCTTATTTCTTATTTTCATTACAGGCCACAGGAAGTACATATATCGGTAATGGAGGAAGCACAATCACGGAACCGTCTGCAAAAAAATAACGAGCAAATCAGTTTATGATAAAGACAACTATAGGATACTTGACTAATTTTAAAAATAGTTTTAAATTATTCTTTAAGTTATAATAAGCACACTACATTAATATTTCGGGGAAATCATTTGTGTTTATCAAAAAAATAAAAGTTAATATTTTAATTTCCAAAACCGCGCAAAAAAACTCTGTCTGTCAGCATTACGCCGCGTATGACGTCACACGCTAGTAAATAACAAAGCTCATCATACCAAAATCGCCGCCAGGGGGCCAATTCTACTAAATAAATTTTGTTTAAATCGAATCGAAAACGGATCGAAACCGACAGTTTTTAATGGTTTTCCTATTCTACAAGGTGACATATGATACAATTCCAGTTTTATTTTAGCTGGAATTGTATCGTATGTGCCCCCAGAAAACCATATTTACTAGCGTGTGACGGACAAAGACGTTTTCGTCTCAGATTAAATGTCAAAAAAGAAAAAAATGTTATTTTGTGTCTATTTTTCATTAACTGCAAAAAATATTCATTATTTCGTTTAAGTAAAATGAAATATGTGTTATTACCAGAGGTCGGAATTAGGTAGAGTTATTTATGTACTTGCATCGAAATGTTGATATTAATGTGGACCTTCCCGGGATTTCTTTATTTCTTCTTTCTTTATTTCTTTCTTTCATTGATGTAAGTTTGGAAAATTCGTGCGTGCAGAAGTTTAAATTGTGTAAAGTAAATAACTTTTTATTTATAAAATCACGGGAATTTTCTGCTCTTTAAAATTAATCTCGGGATTTGAGGCATATCCACTTTATTCTTTCGCTGTATGAAATCAGTGTAAGTACATGAATAACTCTACCTAATTCCGACCACTGGTTATTACACTATATCTTATAGGATGACCACAATTTTTAATATACTTTAATGTTGACAAATACCCTATTTTATTTTATATGAAAGTTTTAAAAATGTTTCCCTTTGCCCTTTATGAAAGAAAAGGGAAGGGATTGACAGATTATTATGTTTCTTTACTTTATGTTGTGGGTCAAGAAATGGCAAAAGGGATGACGCCAAATAAAAAATGTAATTATATGAAACCCTTAGCAAGCTTTATAAAAAACTTTTTATTATTACCGCTATTCTTCAAATTTTCCAATGACTTATGAAGAACATTACTGAAACAAAAAAGCGATATTAATATCCAAATTAAAATTGCAATGTTAACTTTGCGTTGAAGTTTTGTTTCCATTAAAATTTGTTTCAACTTCATCATACTTACCCATCACCTAAGTTGTTTAGCGACTTAGTTAATTGACATGATTGTACCGGATTATTTTGCAAGTCGGCTAACGAGCACACTTGGCGTAACCTTGCAACTAATTTATGTTGAATTGCATTCTGACAACTAGATGAACAATCGCTGCTAATACTGGCGCACTCCGTTTCTGTATTTTCTATTTTGATTTGTGGTATCTGCGCTTGTCTATTCTTTGTGTTGCACTGACATTCAGTGTTGCCAGATTCCGAAGCACGAGTATTATTAGTAGTTTTCGGTGACTGTCCGACTGATTCCTGTTTCAAAGATCTGTGTATATTCGGATCTGAACCGTACGATTGCCCCTTTTCTGTGAATTGGACAGTCTTCTTTCTGTTCATCATTGATAGTTGATACTGCCCTCTTCTGCTCACAGCTGGGGATAAGTTCGGTGATCTGTTAGGTGAGTTGTAAGCCGATACAGTTTCACGATGTTTGTTAATTGTGTTCTTTATTTCATATTCTGTGGCTATTGCTTCAAAAACCTGGAAATAAACATTCAATATTGTTTTATTTAGCAGATTAATACGAAATGAGTACCTATTAGTAGCTGTAAGTCAATAATTGAAAAGGAATACGACATATCCATGTAAGTAGTCCGAATTTAAAGACAAAATAGTGATAACTGCACAATAGGTGTAGGTAGTTGTTCTATCGTAGAAAATGTTGACATTGTTTTTGTCTAAACAACTATAACCACGCAAAATAATGGGTATGTTCCGATATACAGTGCGACCACTGAACAGTATGACGTCAATTTAGTATACTGGAAGCCCGTTCCTTTATAGCTAGTTATACTGGTGACTTTTTAAAACGGAACGCAGTCCAGTATACTGTTAATCCTAATTTTTGGCGCCAATTTCAAATTTGTTAATGCAAGGTGAATATAAATATAAAGATTCCCTCTTTTCAAAAGAAAATTGGAAAATTGTTTAAAAAAATTATTTATCCATCTTATAATAAACGTAAGTATTTTTTTTTTGTTTATTTAAACTTATCATTTTCTGATCAAAAGCACTGCGAGCACCTTACCTCGAAATCTCCAGTGCTCACAGTACAAATATGGCGGCAATTTATGACGTCATAAATTTCCCTAGGGTACTGTAGCAGTGTACTGGCAGTCCATAACGGAATGGATTTTTCCGCGCAGTGCTCGCAGTGTATATCGGAACATACCCAAAATAATACCATTAATATTAAATTTGTCAATGCTTTATAAGCATTATTATTTGCCATCCCATTTAATCTAATATGAAACATTGGGTATGTATTTGACATCCTAGTTAATGTAATATTTTAGGAACAATTCATGATTTTATATATTTTTCTTTTATTTTATTTAAACTTCTTAAAATAACGAACATCGCAGTTTACCTGTTCCGCAACCAAGTTCCTCGCGTACGGTGAATCTTTCGCAGGTAGAGGTTCTCTGCACAGCGCACATCGCTCGAGTCTAGACCAGCAAGCTGTCGACGTACACAATTATTATATTATTAATAAACTAGGTTTATTTATTTTATCACTGCAAAGTATAAAACAAAGTCGCTTTCTCTGTCCCTATTGTTGTGGTAGGGCAACACTAATGACAGCCCGCGCATATTATATTGTCGGTTAGAGATTATCTATGGAACTATGGAGGCTGGCTTGGCTAGGTTGTACTTTGTGAGTAGTGTGTTTGTTACAATCATAATAAAAGCTAATTCCTTGAATGTCGAGTTAATCATTTCTACACCTATATCCCTATGTATGTGTTTATTTACTAGCTTTCCGCCAGCGGCTTCGCCCGCGCGGTCTTGTATTATACATAAAAACCTTCCTATTGAATCACTCTATCTATGAAGAAACAACCGTATCCAAACCGTTGCGTACTTTTAAAGATTTAAGCATATATAGGGATATATGGACAGAGAGTATGACCTTGTTTTATACTATGTAATTATTAAACAACATCACATACATTGCTCAGATTCTAAGATGAATAGCTAAGACAAGGAATGTCGATATAGCATTAGATCTGTAGCAAGTCATATGTATTCGGTACTGAGTAACGGGTGCACCATCTAGTACCGAGTAACGAAACGTTACTCACGAATGTATTTCGTTACTCTTATTTTTTGTACCCCATATACACTGTTTAGTTTTACAAAAAAGTTGATGCCTTTTATTTTATTACTAGCTGACCCGATGAACTTCGTATCACTTATTTTTTAATAAAAACCATATTAATATTGAAAAATATTGCGTCAACTGACAACTGAATGTTTGACAGTTAAGAACAGTTTGTATGGGAAAGTCAAATTGTCGTTTTTAGTATTATACTCGCAATTTTGTAATATTTTCTCATCGTTTAAGCCTTCCCTGGACTTCCACGAATATTTCAAGACTAAAATTTGTCAAATCGGTACAGCCGTTCTCGAGTTGACTGCGAGAGCCCATTGGCTGCGTAGGCGCCGCCCGCACGGTGGGGGCGATTCCCCCACCCGGCTCGCGGGCGTAAACGCGCTGTGATTGGCCGGTTGCCGAGCGTCATTAGTAGCTAAGTTAGACATTAAGTTTAGAATAAGGGTAGGGCCAAAATTGTAAATATTTGTAGTTAGTCAGCAAGTAGTCAGTTCGAGTTAAGAAAAATAGTTAAGCCGAAGATACCAGTTGTAAGAAGAAGAATAAATAGTCCCAAGAAGTTAAATCATCTTTGTTTTGCACCTGAACATTACACAGTCCACAGCCAGCCATCGAAATAAAGCACCATCCCCAACAGTTTGGTCCTCCGAGAAGCCGGATCAGCGACATATATATGACATTACCCGCGCAGTAGAGGTGGGAGCGCGGGCAGACCAGCGGCGCGGCGGCGGTGGCGGCGCACACGGCGCAGGCGAGCGCGCGCACCGCCCCCGCCAGCGCGCGCCGCGCCCGCTCCCCGCGCGCGCCCCCGCCGCAGCTCCACAGCAACTGGGCCATAGCCACAGAGGAATAATATAATATCACTGATAATAATTTATTTCATTATAATAAGTGTTGGATTTAGTGTGTGGCGGTTTATTTTTATTTTCAATAGAGGGTAGTTTTTCACTCGCAAGCACCTTTAAACCTAAGCATCTCCCATCCTTGTCACACATGCGTACAGTAAATATAGCCGTCTTACCTCGATGACGTGCTCCACTTTTTCCTGTAATGACCTCCGCGCCGAACGTTGAGTTTCTTCAATATTTTTAAATTTTTTTGCGATCGCTTAGTGATTCAAACCTCTATCTACAAAGTGTGCTTGAGCCCCTGCTGATAAAAGGACAAGGAAGCCGAAGACCCAAGGTACGTACGCATGTTCCTATCATTTTTCCTATTCTTCGGCCTTTACTTATTATCCAAACTATAAGGTGTTTGCAAGGCACATTTAAATAATAATATTCTTATATAAATTTTCTAATAATCCTAAAACATACAGTCCATTTTTTATAACCCACGCCTAGGGTTCCATTCATTTCAATAAGTTTCTGGAATAGATTTCAATTTATTCCATTTCCGCACCAGGAATGCTGGTATAGGCGCCAGCAATAAGTAATGAGTAGGACCACCACCACGCGGACTGACGATCTTATAAAGGTTGCGAGAAACCGCTAGATGCGGGCAGCGCAGGACCTATGCTATATGGATAATATATGTGTACGAAGCTAAAATAGATCAAATGTAAATGAATGTCTATGGCTATCGCCTCTGCCCGTAATTCACGCCTTAGTCGTAGCTGCCAGACGTATGGTATCAGTAACAGCCATATTGTTTTCGATCTATAATGTAGAAGTTAGAAAACATTCGCAGAGGCCGGACTTAGGATACACTGGTGTCTACAGCTAAGAGCTCAGGCTGCTTAGTTCGTTTAACTCTTTTGAAAGTCACTTAATTAATTTAGTCTGCCTGTATTTTGTTGTTAAAAAAAAAGATTACAGGGATATGTGAAAAACCTCTTTAGTGTAATACAAAATCTAACGTATTCAGTTAGAGAACAGCACGCCATAGCGAGCGAATACACTTTTTTCCATAACTTATAAATGAGGCATCACGCGTATGTTTTCCAACAAAGAAACATACTCACTTCAGGGTCATCTTTTGGATTCACTCCACAATTCCAAACAAGTAATGATACTCCCCTGCCAGCTCCGTCACCTCTTATCAACCCAGCTACTTGGCCTACCTGAAATATAGGACATTAATATTTTGTTTTTCACTGATAATTACCACAAGTAAAAAATAAAAATAAACAAGCTATAATATCAAGAAAAACATTCATAAATACACTTTTATTGAAAGCCTACAAACCGATTATAATCTCTTAAATCCTGTTTTAAAAATTAAAAAAACACGACTGATAAGAACGAGTTAGAAAGTAAAAAAAAAAAAAAGTAATATCGGATATTGAATATGTCTGTGAGAATTTCTATTCAAGAACTTGTGAAACCAAAATTTGCAATTTATCTGGCAGATAAGTTTCTAATAGAATATATGGCATTATTTTAGCAGGTGCTAAAACTAGGTGCCAGATGGGAAGAGTAAAATATCTGGGCAATATTTACTCTGGACTCTGGACAAAAATTGATACATCCATCCTTCGACTCGGAAAATTTTTGATAATAAAAACAAACAAAGGTAATGGGATAATTTCTAGGTTGTTTCAGCCGTTACCGAGCGACTGATTGAATAATTCAATGACTTTGTCAATTATTTAACATTTGACGGGACATTTTTCGGGATTCTTATTATTCTCTGAAAAGTCAGGAAAATTCAGACCAATCATGACATATCTGGCAAGCCTAGGTGAAACTGACCTTAGCATTGCATATCATTATCATCATCAGCCCTTATACGTCACCACTGCAGGGGCTCGGGCCTTCCTTATGGATGGTTAAGGAGGATGGGCCATAACCTCCACGCTGGCCAAATGCGGATTTGAGGGTATTAACGACAGCAAATGCAGCCGGAACCAACGGCTTAACGTGCCTCCCGGAGCACGGAGTAGCTCGAGATAATAATTTTTTGGTCACCCATCCCGTGACCGATCCTTGCGAAAGTTGCTTAACGACTACGATCGCGGGCCGCGGCGCTTATCTACTACGCCACCGAGCTACTCAGCATTGCATATAGGTAAAGCTAATTATTGATTTTATTACATGAGAAACACAAGATAATAAAATATACCGGTAATCCAAGTAAGTCTTTCCCGTCAGCTTGGAGCAAACAATCTCCAGTTTGAAGGCCAGCATTGTCCGCTCGTGATCCAGGCGTCACTTCACGTACCTTGAACGAAATAATAAGGCGTTTGTTTATAAAACAAGTACACTCATACGAACTCTGGGTCAGCTGCACCAACTTAGTTCAACAATATTAAAATATCGGGTAATAATAATGAGTTTTCATTTGTTGAATGGCGTCAAACATTTAACTGTAAACTTTAATCGCCAAAAGATTCGCTGGTTAAAGTTATTGTTTTACTGTGACAAGAAAGAGGATGGTGCAACGCATTCTACAGCCAATGGCATGAACCGAAACTTAAAATTAAACAAGCACAAAATTATAACAATGGTATGTGCAGAGTGGTTTGCACTCTAGTTTCCAGGTGTCGCTATCTCTGAGGTCTCGGGTTCGATTCTCGTTCGGGTAAATAACCTTTTCTATATTGTCTCAGATCCAGGTGTTGTGGTACTTTCGTCAGCTTAGGTACTGCTTAGGTGGCTTTAGCTACTCAACTTGTTATCTGAGCAATGATGTGACGTTGTAATGTCCTTAATTCTTCTTCTTTAATGTCTTATGTACACTAACCAACTGGTTAGTAATTCATTATAACATCATCATCATCAGCCCTTTTACGTCCCTACTGAGCTGAGCCTAACGTGCCTTCCGAAGCAAAGAGTAACTCGAGATAATAATTTTTTGGTCATTCATCTCGTACCGACCATAGCGAAAGTTGCTTAACAACATTAATCGCGAGCCGTACCGCTTATCCACTACGCCTACGAGCTACTGGCTAACTAAGTTATTATAGATTGAACAAAAATAGAATTTAGAATCACTCTGCGCACCATACTTTTCCATATCTATTATTAACAGCTACGGTCTTTTGTTTTCATTAGTCTATACCTCAGCAGTGTATCGATCCCTATATATGAAATCGAATCGAGTCGGGAGAATAACCAAGATTAACAATGCGGGCCCTGTGAGGATTGGTGGGTGTTAACAACTGCAGATGCTTCCGAAGCACAATGAAGTTCAAGATGGTAAAATTTGGGCACCCATCCGACAATGTCCGACTTTTGCAACAGTTGCTTTACTTCAGAAAGTTTCTGTACACCAGACTATTTTAAATTACATATAGGTTTTTTAATAAATTTATTTATAAGAAAACGATAAAAGTTGTAACAAAAACATAAAGAATCTTACCCAAGGATACGGATCCCAAAGCGTTCTGGTGAGTCGAAAGCCAAGACCCTCGCCCTCGTCTTCAGGTAAATTTAACTGGAAATAACACTTTGATTACTTCTAATAAAGAGTTAAAAACAACACAGAACAATTTATAAAAGCTTCAATTGTAATTTCAAATAAACTAAAATGAATGGTTTGATTGTAGGTAAAGATAACAGCACTACAATCGATTTTTATAGTTTTCAAAATTAATGAAAAATCCTGTGCTAAAATGAAATCTTTCACTTTATAATAAGTGCTCCCGATATATCGGTCACATAACCAAGGTATTCAATTCCCAATCAAATAATATAAATGTCGCAGTCAAATGGTTAGATCATCTATTCAATTGGATGGCTAGCCAATCAATTGCATGCCTAATTTTCTAGTTAAATCTTCATTTATTATTAGTTAAATCTTAATCAAAATTTTCATTTAGTTTTATTATCTGTAGTGTAATAAAAATAACCCGAAATTTAAGATGTCTTAAATTTACCTAAACCTGCATGACTAAAAAACTTTGTTGTTTATATTTTTTTGAAATCAGCTAGCCGCCCAATGGGACGGCTGATTTAACCACTTAGCTGCGACATATACAAAACATATAAAGCACAAATATAATAATTATAAATAAACATTTATTTGGGACAAAGCAAGGACAAAGTCCATACTACATACAAATATTATTAATTTAATATTATTATAGTATCAGTTATTAATCACATATGACGTAACTATGTAAATAAACACCTACCACTACCAGCCGGACACCAGACGTGTATTCTTGTTCAGTTCCGCTTCCGGATACTTCTGACGAGTTCATTTCCACCTGTGATCGATTATAATAATATTGATACGGTGTTTAATCAGCGAGTTATTATATAACAATTTGTATTTTGGCCATACAATTAATTATATGATTCGATTAATTATAAAAAATTTAACACATGTACATTTTACATTTTTATATGTTTAAGATTCTTAGTACGCTCCATGGCCATTACAACACCCCTGTTTAACATGAACATAAATAAATGAGTGGACGTTCTTATTTCTACAACAGACATACATATATATTTTATTTGATATACAATGTCATAACCTAAATAGTTATTCAACTCGTTGTTAAATAGGCATTTATAATAACAAAACATTATTATCCTAGTATTATTTTACACTGACATTACATTTTCAGTAGTATTTTATTTAAATATATGGCAACTTGCATAAGCGCGCCAATAACATTTTCGCCTGTGGCTTGGCTTCTTTTTACACACAAGAATATTCTTTGCCTCTTTCTGTGCCTAAAAACAAACTAAAATAGTTTGTTTCAAAGAAAATATTCTTACATCTTTAAAAAAAAAAAAAACAAAAATGATTCTTAAAAACTGAAGGCAGTCTAACAATTTTGTAACTGCATCTTTTTAGTGTTCATGATTTATTATTCGATATTTTTGAAATCGGTTTCGTTTTGTTAATTATTTACCTCGATAAATACTTTTCTAAACAAGAATCACTAATCGGCCCTACTGGTATTTAAAAAAAAAACCAGTCGAAATGATAACCCTCCTCCAGTTTTCAAGTCTGTTATAAATTAATCAAAGAAAGAACAGATTTGATACCAGCAGACAGTATTATGGCCACAGAAATATATTTTTTTATAAATGAAGGTTATGGCTTAAACACCACTGTCTGTCATAATAGGATAAAGATTGCGATTATAATTATAAACTTATTTTTATATCTACTTTTTGCATTGTAATTGTTTAGCAGAAGCAAATACGATAGGTAATTATTTGAACTTACTTCCTCTAAGTTAATAAAAAAGTCATACGATAAAAACGTTCCATTGCGACGTCAAAGAAGGACGAATATTTAATAGACTTTCGTGCGTAATGAAAGTTACAAAATATTACTGTCTTGTTTGGTGCCTATTTTTTATACAAGAAAAAGTACGATATTTTTTCCTTCTGAAATAAAAAATAAAAAAGATTCTAAATACAAAACCCAAGTGCGAGTCAGAATCGCGCACTAAGGGCTATCAATTAAAAAAATATCACGTTTGTTGTTTTATATAGAATTGTTCGAAATTTTTCAGTTTATGTTTAACTGAAAAATTGGTTTATTTATAATGTATTGATCTGGTAATGGCATGGTTTTTGTGATTGTCATAACTCCCATTAGACAAAATACTAATTTGATTATTTAGTGCATGGATTTATCTTTACCCTGTTTATAATGAAGTAATTGTAAGAAAATAAGTTTGGCAAAAAGGGCAAGGTGCCGTTATAAAAAAAAATATATATATAAAATTATAAAGGCATCTAAAGTGTAATAGCTTTCCTTTTGATTTCGTTGCATAAAGTTTGAATTTTTACCAACGACCGTTAAGAGTGGGGGACACTTGACTCTAAAGAAAATTAGTTCTTTACAGCTTTATAAGTGACAAACGGTTAATCAAATAGTAAAACGGCCTTCCCACACCCCCAATGTTTTTGAAAGACCTATCCAACGATGACCCAAACTAAGGGAAAAATGAAAAACATATCATCCTTACTTTACATGTAGGGGAGGCACCTTACAATTTTTTCTATTAATTTACTTTACCAATTTTACGTTTTTCATCTAAATCGTGGGTGGACAGTCGGACATGGCAAAATATAAGCATGGCACAAAAACGTCGCTAAGATATACCTACAATGGGGTTCGATGACCGTTTTTAAGGTTCCGTACCCAAAGGGTAAAACGATACCCTATTACTAAGACCGCTGACCGTCCGTCTGTCTGTCTGCATCTCGTGAACCATAATAGTTAAAAACTTGAAATTTTCACAGATGACGTATTTCTGTTGCCTCTATAGAAATACATCTGTGAAATTTTTTACTGTCCCGAAGTCGCAGGATAATTTATTAGCTGGTTAGCTAGTAAATTATCTAATGAATTAACCATTATATAAAAAAAAAAAACAAATAACGCTGTCTCTGGGGATACAAAAAAGAACCATTCGTCTAAAGCTTATAAATGCATTCCAAAATTTAATAAAAAAACAAAATTCCACACTCAAAAATAACCCATGCGAATAACAAAAAAAAAACAAAATTAAAAAAATAACATAATACTAAAACCATACGTCACCTTGAAATATCGAAAGCTCACAACGGAACAAACGGAACGTGCTTCATAAACGTGCACATTCAATCAAAACAGGTTTTAAAAAATATAACACACACGGGATGTGCGAACCTACACTGATTACTGCGGCCCAATTCGTACTGTCGATATAATATTGCCGGTTGAAATCTATCATGTCAGTGATGTGATGTCACACATCGATAATTATTGCGACTATATATCGATAGTTTAATCATACTAGCTGTTTTCCCGCAACTTTGCCATCTTATAAAGCTTACCGTGGGTAAAAGAAGTTTAAAACATGTCCAGTTTTTTCGGAGCCTTGTCGATTCAAAATAACAAACTTTACCATATTAATTTATTAGTTATCAAGACTTACATACGTTGTTATATAATAAATATTAATAATAAAAAATAAAATAAAAAACTACATTGTTTTCCACTTTCAAACTCATTTATCTCATCTTCTTTATTTTTTTGATTTATTTTCCATTTTAAAATAATTTATAGTTTTGTTGAATTTCTTCATGTGCCTTTCTGTAGCTTCCAATGAGTAGCAATCTGTTATTGCGGATGATATTTGCATTATGTAGTGTAATAGGTGGAGCTGAACGCTTTGAAAACAGTAAAAATTCGGAATGAAACAGAAAGCAGGTTCATCAATGTAATAAGAACAAATCTACCATTGTACTGAAAACAGTAGGGTTGGTAACGCTGTTTATATATCTTATTGACGAGCGCGTTAAGAGCAATAAGCCTATTCTAAAAATTTTCCAATTCCAAATAAACTTTCTTACTACGAGTATTATGTGTGTTGGACTTTAAATCTTTAAGCCTGTAGTGAGTGAATTCAAAAATAAATAAACAAAAGTACAGGTAATTTGATTTCATCGATATCTATTCGTCGCAACACTATTGCCATACCGGTTCACCTCACGACACACGTCACGGCCGTACTGACCTAGAGACGAAGTACTCTTTTAATGCTGTCTCGTGTTGCACAACACTGTAGGATATATGCAAACTCTTTCCGATAAATTATGTTATGACAACAGAATAAACGTCCTGATCGGCTAAAATAATTTATTTGTGTGATATATTCTTAGTTTTACACTGTTCATATTTAAGTACAACTAAAATTTGAAGAGGTGTATCAGAAGAGAACACTTAATATATTATATATGTGCAGTTACATTTTAAAAACACATAAATAACAAGACTCGCTACATTCAATCTTTACACGATTTATGAAATGGAAAATAACGTTTCAATTCCTAATTGGAAATGCAAAATTAAAGCAAAATAAGTAAAATTTTTGCCCGCATCCAATCATTGATAAATAGTCAATTTAAAAAAAAACTACTCTATTTATTTCTTAAGTGTAAGGAGAGGTCATTGTTTTTTTTAGATGTAAGTAAATTAAAAATTAACGTTATATAGAAACCGAATTAGGCAGGACATAATTCGATAGCAATAAAAATTAAATTCTTATACACAATTTATTCGGGACTTTTTTAGGGTTCTATACTGAAAGGTTAATAGGGGACCGTTTACTAAAATACCGCTGCTCATATATATGTATCTTATTACTTGGATAGTTAGACAGTTGAAAATTTCACAGATGTATTTCAAATACTATAAAACATATTTAAAAAATATGTATGGGAGGTCCCACACAACAAACCTTTTTCTTTACGTTTTTTTTTTTATGGATAATGGTATGGAATCCTTTGTGCGTGAGTCCAACTGCTGGGGCACGGGCCTTCCCTAACGATCGAATCGAATTCAATAGATAGAATAGCCCATAACCTGCCACGCGGGCCCGATGCGGATTAGTGGGTCTTAACAACGACAAGAGGAGGACAATATATTTTTGGTCACCCATCCTATGGTCGGCCATTGTGAAAGTTGCTTAATTCCAACATCGCACACCGAACGAGCTTATATACGCTCAACATCTATCTCGTGTAGTCAATTTTGAGACAAACTTTTTACTGAAAAATAAAATAAAATGTTACTGGCTGTTATTTTATTTCTTTTTACCGATTTTGAATTTGGAATGTTAACTTTTATCATATTTGTATCGCAAATTCATTTATTTATATATTCTCATGATGAAGGGAATGGGAATCAGTAATTTTACTATTTAAGGCGGGAAAAGAACTGATGCAGATCGTCCGCGAGCTGAAAAGATTTCCCGTACGCCGTAACTTCGTCTATTACACAACACAGCGGTACAATGAGACAAGTTCTCTGCAAGATTGCCAAAGGAGTGGCACGTGTGAGGACGCCTGCGAACATCAAAATCATCAGAGAGAGACTTCACCGAAATCCATCTCCCACTCAGAAGAAACTCGCTCTGCAGACTAATATTTCTTTCAGTGAACAGAAAACTGAAATATGATCTTAAGGTAAAAGTCTATAGCCGTGGAAAAGTTCACTTTCAGTTAAAGTAACTTCGTAAGTTACGACGGGAACTAAATAGCAATCAATTTCTTTTTTTTATTTATTGATGAATAATAATTACATATCAATCGCATCACTTAGTGCAGCAAAAACCAGAAAGGTTTGTCTGTGCACTACTTTAACAACATATTTATATTGACAACTATAAAATCACAGTTTGCTTATGGATTAGTTAGATTATTGGGTATAAAAATTACTGTTTACACAATTAGAAAGTTCAATAAAAACACGTAAATATTCCAGTAATTAACCTATGTAAGATAAGACAACAATCGGGTATCTGTAAAATACTTCGGAGTAGCGTACGACCGAACGGGCATCTTTCCTCTTTATAATCTATTAATATTACAAACAGGCAAACTGTTTGTTCGTTTTGTTGAGGATCGTCAGCTGAACCGACCTTTTTTATACGTTGTCTTTGTTTTTATAGTTTTTTTTTATTATATTTGATTTTTATTTAATTTTGTTTTTATTGACATATGGATTATTATTGATTGTCACGTGCTTTGACGAGGATATTTGTTTTGTGGACAATATAGTTTTTGAGAAGATAAGTTGTTTATTTTCACACCTGTGCCCACACCATTCCTCGTCACCCTCTTCGTCGATAACATCGGTCCTTCGAAAATGTTTACCAGGTCGAAAGGTAAGGTCGAGGATCCCTCACCGGCACTCCTATTGTCGTTGATTGAGCGCCCAGAGGAATCCTCGACGACGAAACCACATACAAATGTGGAAAATTTAGTCTTACGCGGTGATGATGGCCATTTTCAGCCCGCCATATCAAGTTTCGGTGCTGCCGGTGGTGCATCATCCCGCCATTCTAAATCTATAACTTCTTGTTGGCAACTTAATGAAATCAACATTAATCGACCGGAAGTTGACGCCGGTGACGCCATCTTGCGGCGCACAATGACGTTCACGTGCAAGATGGCGACTATATAAGCAAGCAACCGACCTAAGCATGGCAGTCTTAGTTCCGCTCGCGCTGTGACAACTAGTGTAAATTATAAAATAAAGTGTTGTGATTATTGATAGCTATGTGTGATGTATGCAAATTAGTGAATAAATAGTTTGATGATTGAAAGTGAGGTTTTAGTTAACATCAGAAGTGGGATATTAGGCGCCAATGGGCTCTCGCAGGAAGCGCTCTAAACGTCGCGAAAGACGCTCGAGTTCGACGTCGAGTAGCTCGAGTAGCGCTCGAACACCGTCGCCCTCACCGAGACAAAGGAAAAAGGTAGCACACAAAACTGACACCGCGACTGTAAGTACAAACAACAGCTTAATATTGTGCAATATCATACCAGAATTTGACCCGTTAATAGACGACGTAAATGCATGGCTTAATATTATCGAATCTTACTCTCAAACGTTTGCCTGGTCGGATGAAGTGATTCGCTATCAAGCTTTGAACAAATTGAAAGGTTCCGCTAAAACATGGTACGACTCCTTATTACATACTGAATATCAGTGGCCATCTTGGAAATGGAAAGATTGGCGAATAAAACTATCGGCTTGTTTTCAAAGTAGGAGAAATATTTTTGATCTTCTAAAAGAAATACTCAATAAAAAACCCATAGAAAATCAATCTTTATACGATTTTTACTTTGATCAAAAATGTAAAATCGATCGTTTGTCACTAAACTTTACACAACAAGATATTATATCTATTATTTTAGGGAACATAGGAGAGGCAAATTTATTAGCATCAATAGACGCTAATCAGTTTACAACATGTGATAATCTAGCAAGTTTTTTGCATGGTCGAATATACAAATCCAAATTTCCTAAATCTTCAAATGTTCCTTGTGAAAACCAACCACGACAAACCGTCGCACAACCAACTACTTCCTCCACAAATGGAGGTAGTATAACCATAATAGATCAAACTGTTCCATCTGGTTCACTAGCGACCATGCAGAACATACAACGTAAATCGTTAAAATGCTTCATTTGTGGTGGGAATCATAAACGAAATCAATGTGATAAAAATAAATGCGACTTCTGTGGGAAAAGGGGACATTTAGAAGCTGTATGCTTTCACAAAAAACTGACGAAAACCGAAACGCACGAAACTAAATTTATTTCTACCCCCAACCCTCGTAACAAATTCGTTAAAAATATAATACTAAATCACGTGAAGTGTGAAGCTTTTATAGATACTGGAAGTAGTTGTTCGTTAGTGTCAGAGTCATTCGTAAAGAATAATTGCTTTGAAATTAGTCCTTTATCCTCTCCGATTTTATTGCAAGGATTTTCTAAACAATCCTCAAAATTTGTGAGTCATAAGATAACCGTTGATTTAGAAATGGACTCTATAGCTTTAACGCAAATTGACATTTATGTGCTTGATGATTTGATGGATTATGATATTTTGATAGGTAGGAATGTAACTGAGCGATCAGATTTGATGTACATACGTGTAGGAAATACCTTTAGGTTTCATTATGCAATAGGGTACAGCGAATCCTGTAAAAGTATCAATGAACTAGATTTAGACACCGACTCTCATCATAACGAGTTAAAATGTATTTTCAGTATATATAGAGATTGTGTAGCACTCAATACTAAAGAGTTAGGGAAAGTTAATCATCACGAAATGGAAATTAACGTTAACAATATACAACCGATTCAGTGCAGACCTTTTAGGACTTCTA